ATGTTTTTCTAAAGGAATTTTTAGATTTGTGGAGCGGACAGCTTCCTGTTAACAGATTATTTCACTTGACTTGTGAGTCCATGCAGCTGCTCAATTGTCCACTGGGCCTCTTTGTGATCAATGCTTTTCTTATTTGGTCTGCCACTTGAGGTCGAAATCCATCTGATGGTTTGTTTGCATTTAGGTTATTCCCTTTTCCTTTTTGCAGGATAGATTGAACTCTGCTTTATGATATTAGGCTTTCAACACAGTGTTGATGCTTTCCTTAAGGGGCTGTTATACTAAACTTTTCTCCAAGCTTTGAGGCTCCAAGGAAAAACTGGTTTTATTCTCATTAAATTTGAAATGGACATTGGGAAACTGCTTCATGTGGTAACACAGAGTTTTAATTTGGGAAAATGGAGTAAAGGAAACTGAAAACAAATTCATCACTTTTTTTTGTAGATATTGTCTGTGAAACACTTTGATGTCTTTATATTATTTTCTTCCCCCTCCAAAACCATTGATTTCTTTTTTCATCATCATATACAATAAAAAAATAACCCCAACAACTGATAACATAACAGGTGTTTGGTAAAGCAATTGTGATATTAAGTTATCTGCAGGTGTTCTAGTAATATATTTAAGTTTGGAGCATATTATTTTTTATCTTTGACTAATAATTACTCACAGAATAACCAATCCAATCCCTTTGATTATGATTTAATGTGTTGCTCTAAATGCACTAATGCACATCTCTGCCTTGTTTCAGCTGTCAGTCCTGACAGGCGTCCGTTACCTTCAGACCTCCTTGGAAAACATGCTAAGGCAGGGGGACCCTAACTCGGAATCTGACGGCTGGCTGCTGGAAAACAGCCTAATGGAAACGGCCCGTACCAACCTCAACATCATAAAGAGCCTCGGCAAGAACAACCAAATTAACTCAGCTGAAAATGGAGACCCCAACATTGATGTCCCATCAACCTCTGCAAAACATTATGGCTCAGAAAATGTTTCAACCATGCAGAAGATGGGAACAGGTTAAACATACTTCTCCAGCCTAAAATACCTTATCTCCAAAATTGTAAGATGTTTTTGTACAACTTATCAGAGGTATTAAGATAATAAACCATATATATACTGTAGCCATGGAAAAGGGTTGTTAGACCTTACCTTGTTTTCTTTTCTTTTGTTTTTTTTATATTGAGGTTATTGACCTTAGGAAGAAGCTAAAGAAAACAACGGTAATCTATTCATTCTTTTATTATTATAAAATATTGATGTAATATACAATGTGTTAAATATTTCAAACACATTTTGAAGGACTTGCTTCTTTGTTGCCATATTGCATTATTTTGGTGGCAAGGGTTGGACACAGCCAAAGACTATAACCATGTCAACTTAACAGAATAACTTGATTGAATTTGATAATTGTCAATGAGAGTGGCCTTGCCAAAAGTTCAAGTTAATATTGAATTTATTCTTTCTCTGACTGCAGTGTTGAGGTGAAATAGTAAATCTGTAAAATGTCTAAACGTTTCTATACTTTCAGGTAAACCAATGTTTAGTTATGAGTGGGGATTCAGATGTATAAAAGATTTGTTCCAGAGAAAACTTATCAGGGGCCTCATATGAGCTTTGAAGAGCAACTTTAAACGCACAACTTGGGTCATGCAAAACTGAATGTGGCGTTTCCAGTAATCCATCTTTCACCTTTCAAGGCCTTGCAACACCTATGGAATTAGACTAAAAGTTCTAATGGACATGAATTCACTGAGTCCTTATTCATTTTTTTTTTTTTTTTATCAGTTAAAATTGTAAGGAGCAACAGAGAGAGGAGGTTTGTGATAGTCCAAATTTATTCAGCAAATAGAAAGTTAATAATACATGTGAAACTAAAGACTGGAAATAGAACTATGGCTAATAATTGAGAAAAAACATTATACAACATTGCTGTTGGGAATAGAAGCAGATGATTAGGTTAATTTAATAATCAAGGTGATGCAAATGTATTTTTATTGCACATTTCAGGAGCAAGATAATTCAAAGAGCTGTAGGAAGTAGGAACACACAAGGAAAAGTGCATGGAAAGATAGTTTAAGAAAAATAGAATGGTTGATAAAATTGTCAAAAGTTGGACTTCAAACTTCAAATAGTGTTTAGCACAGTCAAAGGAACTTAGGGTTTCAGCGCTTTTACAGTGTTTGGGGTGTTTGATTCTAAACTAGTGGAGTATAAGAACTGAAAGCTGTTGCTCCATGTTTAGTTCTGATTCTGGGCAGAATTGTGCCAGAAGATGTGAAAGGTCCGGGTGGTTGATTTGCTGTCAACAAGTCTGTAATGTATTTTGGTGCTAAACCTTTCAGTGATTTATAGACTACAGAAGTATTTTAAAGCGTATTCTTTGAGAAACATGGAGCCACTGCAGGATATGCTCCACTTTCTTGGTTTTGTTGAGGACTTGGGCAGCACTATTCTGGATCAGCTGCTGTTGTCTGCTTGACTTTTTTTAAGCAGACACCACTGCAGTAATCAATTCTACTAAAAGAGAATACATCAATTAGTTTTTCAAGGTCCTGCTGAGACATTGGCCCTTTCATCCTGGAGATGTTCTTTAGGTGATAGATGGCCGACTTCTTGCTGTCTTTGTGTGCCTCTGAGGGTTGAGGTGTGAGGTCATTACTACACCCAGATTTAGAGCCTGACTGGTGGTTTCTAGTTGTATTCACTGAAGCGGTGTGCTAACTTTTAAACACTTTCTTGGGTCCAAAAAGTGTAACTTCCGTTTCGCTTCCCATCCAGGAAGCTTTTTAAATTCAAAATGTCTGAATTAGTGTTGAGTTCCAAGTAAGTGCAGGAGACCATGAATTCTCGCAGGGTCAGCCAGGCCAACAATGACCCTAACTACTCCCCCCTTTCAGAGGCATAGACCAGTATTTGATATCTGTATACTCCCTATTACTAAGGGGTGGACTTGTTCTCCCGGTTCAATTTGCATGTTTGCCAAGCCAAAACAAAGTTTTGTTGGGCTACTCTATAAAAGCTTGGAACACAAACTAATTCAGACATTTTGATTTAAAAAAATCTTCCTGGATGGGAAGCAAAGCATTTTTAAACTTGGAAAACAAAGTCCAGTGTTTTTTTTTAATTAACTTTTTTTGAAATTAGCTAGGTTTCCTCAGCCCCTCAATAAATGTCCCTTCACAGCTGCCATCCCTTCTGTAATTTAGACTCACCTGCTCATAATTTCCACTGTTATCCTCCCAGCAGTTTTTTAATATATATGGGTTTGTTTTTGTTTTGTTTTTTTTTGTTTAACTCCTTTTCAGATTCTTTAAATCTATTACTTTCCCATAACAAGTAATAAATCTATTACTTTGGCATAACAGTTCCTATTGTCCTACTGTTCTGGTAGTTCCTCTTCCATGTCTCCTCTCCTAATGTGTTTTTTTTTAATTGCATGTTCCATGTTTTGATCCAAAACCATCATTAAATAATACTTGAATAAAATTTGTCTTGTTTTATTAAAGTAGGTAAGTCAGAACTAGAGTAAGTTAAACCATAAATTAACAGGCTTGGGTTCTGGTGTCTTTATAAAAGATGGTGAACTACAGATGTGAGAGGAGGGCAGTCTTGCTGCTAAACAGCTATGATGATATGGTAATTACATAGATAACGTAGTTTGATGTTATGTGACATTTTTATGACTCTTGAATCTCATAAGAACAAATTAATGTTGCATTTAACAACTTGCCACTTTCTGAGTTATTTTTTTGTCAAAAATCTCTTGATATTACAGAGAGCAAAAATGTAATAAAAATGGGTTATAAAGACAATTTTTATTTTATTGTATTTGAAATTCCCTGCAATTCATCCAAAGATTCCAAAGATATGCATTGTTAGCTTGTCAAATAGTCCAGCACAGTCCTTATTCAATTTTGTTGGATTTTAGGCATGGCTGCTGTATTTATTTCCCTACCTGCTGGATGACATAGTCTATACACAAGACTATTTTCATAGATGTTTAAGAAGTGCTTTGGTTGGGCCAAAACAACAACTACCAGTCAAAGCAAATGGGATTTTCATAGTAAATAGCGGTGAAGTTTTTAAAGTGAGCCTCAAAAAATTGGGAGAAATTAGGAAAAAAAAGCAGCAAGAAATGAAATCAATGTAGTTTATTTTTCTTAATTATTGCAAAATTTGTTTTTAAACAATATTATAAACTATAACTTGTAATAGAATATAATTTTAACATAAAGTAATATTGGGATTTAAAACGGAACTTTTAGGCTTTTCCTCTTTCTAAGTATTTAAGAAAGGACTATCCCACTTTGACTGAAATGTAATTTTCCCTTTTGCAGTAATATACTTGTGTCTCACTTTAATTTAAAGGTCCTCAAAACGAAACATGGAGCATTAATACATGTGCCAGTGTCATACCTATGGAACCGACAGACATTAAACCCAGTCCTCCCACTACACACATATTCCTTTTCTTCTGTACTTATCATCAGCAGTTTTATGTAAAGTTTGTTACATTGGAGATATAGTTAAAAATATAAACATGCTAGTTAAGGTCTCATGCCAAGCAGACATAATGATAATTGATCAGCAATAAAAATAAGAAAGACATTCTAAAAGTTTTATTTTCTTTACACATTTTGTAGCACTGCCCATTAATCTAAAAAAAAACAGCTAATAGATAAACTCAAACAAGAGAATAACGTAAATAGTTAAATATTTATGCAGTGATTAAGGAGACCTTTAATCACTGGGTTAGAGGCTGCTGGGAGATCGTCATTGGAACCTGGGTATTGATTGTGATTTGCTGCCTTGTTTGGCATCGGATCATCCCGATAATGGCTCTCCTGAACCTGCAAGAAAGCAACTTTTACAACCCTGAAACATACTGTCAAATAACCTCTTATACAGGAGATATTTAAGTCAATAAAATACTCACTTTTTGTTGGCAATGACATAGATACAGGGGTTGTAGAATGTCGAGGACTTTGCAAAGAGGGGAGCAATAATGGCCATTGGGGCAGGAATGGTCTTTGGATCACCAAACGATGCCCAGAGACACACCATGGAGTAAGGAGACCAGGCAACCAGAAACATGATGATCATGATGATAGACATCTAGAAATAATTTACTGATTTTAATTTTCACACATTACAATAATTCCCCTTAAAAAAAAGCAAACAGGAAATGTAGGAATCAATTTGTATGAATAAAAAAAATGCGCTTATTTAGGGTTTTTTTTTTTTTTCTTGTTGGGTGGATTCACCAAGTTAGGATAGAGATGTTCAATTTAAACCCTCAAAAATAGAAAATAGCTTCAACACTGATACAAAAAAAAAAGTTTTTACTTTCCAAGTTTATGACAGATGCCAAATGATATAACTGTCTGTTTGTGTTCTGCATCCATTTACTCATCAAAAGTCTGCTATTCAGGAGGTTTTCTAAGAAACAAAAACAAAAAAAAACAACAACAAAAAAACAGCAGACATCCCTCCTTCCAGCAGCATCCCTGCTTTAAAAATCCTGATCAGATTTTCAAATCTCCTCAGCTGTGAGATATTTCTGTTCTTTTTTTACTTTTCCTTGATATGCAATAACCATTCACCTGTTGCTACAGCTTCCCAATAAAAAATTGGGGAGAAAAAAAAAGCAAGATTCATCTTTTCCACCATATGAGACAGACAGGCACTAACCGACGTGAAGATTTGACATTTTCTTGATTGTTAACTATGGTTTTATCAACCAAAAATGGATGATCTGTGATACTGTTAACTGAAGTTGAAAAGACTAGAACTATGAAGTGCAATCATTCTCATCATTTTTGTTTGGAATGAATAGAAAAGTACACAATCACAATTCTATAAACATTAACAGCAGTCTAAAAATAAGTGAGCAATGCCTATTTTTTTTTTTTTAAGATTAAAAGAACAAAAACCTCTAAACTTAAGTGTCCACTATGTGTGTTACCTTGGTAACGTCCATCTGGTCAGACCAGTCGACGTTGATGCTGTCCAGGCAGTTGCTGGCTTTGTATCGCCTCACAGTTACAGAGACATTGTAATAGCAGTAAAACATGACTGACAGAGGAACAACAAAGTTCACTGCAATCACCGCCATCGTGTAGGAGATGAAGGATCTGCAAAGGAGAAGCGAAGATGCTGCTTTGATATTAAAGGATGTTTAACGAGAGAGGTACAGTCAAACCATAACAAATAAAAAAATGTCCACAGCTAAATAGAAACTCACGCATCGTTCTTTCTCCAGTTGATGGTGCAAGTTGCTCCAGTGGGGTCGGGGGCATATCCTGCCCAGCCTACTATGGGCATGGAGGACCAGAACACAGCGTTCAGCCAGGCAGCCAGAATGAGGATGTTGTAAGATCTAACTGTCATTTTCTGACCTTTAGAGACAGAAATAAAGCCCATCTAAACAATGAGGGTGAAGAATATTTCATCATGATGGTTTTTCAGTGTTGCTTCCTATTTTGAAACAACTGGGATTTTTGTTCAAATAAATTACTTTTGATAGTATTCATTATACTATTTAATCCTTCAGAAAACTTCAGGTTTAGCATGTTTAGATGTGAGAAAATGGTCACACATAGCTAAAAATGGGTAAAACAATAAATAATGTAGTCATAACAGTCCCTGCATCATTTAAACATTTAGGAATATCCTAAAGAAATGGACTCTAATGACATATCTGCATATTTTTTTTACCTTGTTAACTTCCTCTCTGCAAACATGAACAGAGTTGACTTTAGTTGGTTTTGATCTCAGTAAATGTAAATCCATCCAAATGACTGAAAGCTAGTTCAAAGCTAGAATAGTTTTGAAATTGACCCTTTAAAGTAGGCTAATAATAGTTAGTAATAGATTGGGATTACAGTCAGGGTATCACAGGATGGAACAACAACAAACATAGTTAATGGAGTATTTTAAAGGCTGTAAACAAGTGTTATAATAATCTAAATAGAACTGGAAGTAAAGGAAATTTGTTTTAATGCCATCTGCTGGAATAAAGGTTTAGTGCAGCTTTTCTCAGGCTGATGTCTTGGGGTCTTTTTAGAGTGAAGCTGCAGGGGGATTCCCTGTGATTTCTTTTATCCAGGTGAAACAAATCCTGAGTCTTTCGTTGTAAAAGGGTCTTATGTGAGAGTTCTGCCGGGGGAGGATGTGTGTGTGTTGGACTATGGATGGAGAACGGTTGTATCACAGCTGTGAGGAAGAGGCTGTATATTTTTTATACCCTAAATTTTGAACATTTTTGTCATGTTACACACATCCATCCATTTTTTTCTGCTTATCCGGGGCCTCATGAAGACTTAGGAACACAAACAGAAGGGTAAAGATAAACTTATGTTTATTTATTTTTTTATTATTATTTCTTAGTCAACCTTGATTTAATTAAGAAGTGTGAGAAGATTTCAAAATTTGGATGTTTCTTTCTAAAAACTAACATAACTGGATGAAATAAAATACTCCAAAGTTCTCCATCTGTACAAAGTTGATAGTGACATACTTCGAGTGCATAAAAAAAGTGGTTGTAGGTTATTTACTCAGACTAAATGTCAGTTCTTACCAAACTTTTCAGAAATGTATTTTTAAAAGAATAAACTAAACCTGACCCTATAAGTATAACTGATATCTATTGTAATTATGCTATAGGTGACAAAATTAGAAAATATCTAATTCTCATGAATACTTCTGAATCGCTCTGCATGTCAATCTCTACATAGATCTAGTTTTTCAGATTGGCTGCATTGCAGCATTACTTGCAGTTTCCCCTAGCATCACTCACAGTGTTTTCTGGCTGCATCTTAACTCAAAAGCAATTAGAACATTATTTGTTGTAGTAGACATCATACTGCTCCTATATGTAAAGTGATACACACCTATAAACTGGCCTTGGATAAAATTTGGAATGGTATGGTACTTTATCTCAACTGAATGAAAATGTAGTTACCGGTACATTTGAAAACTTTCCCTTGAAATTATGAAATTCATTATCTTCCTTTTTTTGGTTTGGACATCGAAAACTGTGATTTCTTCCATCCATATGACTTAAGTGAAAGAAAGTTTGTATAAAACTTAAAGAGGGAACTCTTACCGATGTCTGGTCTGCAGATGGTGAGATAGCGATCGATAGCCACCACAGTCAGCAGGCCTATGCTGGCCATGCCGAAAAAGATGTTGAGGGCCGCATAAATCTAAAGACAGAAGCAAAAAAAAAAGGAAAATACTTTAAACAAATCAAAAAAGTTGGTTACAAGGCTGAATGTTAGATTTGAACTTTCTATGTTCATCAGTATTTTAACATACTGAGTGTAAATCACTACACAATACGTAAACATGTTTATTAATTGTTTGACACTTTTACTTTCAGAAAAACATGTTTGCAGGCAGAGATAATAGGTTTGATATAATATGTAATGATTTGTAGAAAAAAGGCAGACATGTAACCTGAGGTTAAAGTCTAACCTAACATTCTTATCCATAAGCATCAACATAAAACAGACACACAAAATAAAAATGAACAAAAACATACTCATAAAGATTATCAGAGTTTGGTGAAAGTTTGGTTTCTTTTCTCACCTGGCAGCCAGTGTAACCAAACTTCCAGCTCCCATGGATGTCTGAGGCGGCAGACATGGGATAACCGATACCAGCCACTCCAATATCAGTGAAGGCCAGGTTGATGATGATGAAATTAGTGGCGGTGCGAAGCTCCCTGAACTTCATAAACATCAGCAGAACCACGATGTTACTGGCCAAACTGATGACACCTGAGAGCAAATGAAGAACCAAAGATTTAACTAAATTTAATTAAATTATTATAAATTATATTTGGTAAGGAAGACAGAAATCCATCATCAGTAGTAAAATTAGAACATCAGATGATTTATATGCTTGCCCTTATAAGATACCACTGAAATATGCTAGCCGGTAGGTTCTGGATAAGTTACATTATCTTTATAAATTATGTAAATATAATTTAGAAACATTTATATAAGAAAAAAGATTTATATAAATGTATATATAAATACAAATTTATATGAATCTATATAAATTTTCTATCATGTTTTTGCTGCTATAAACACCAGCATTTCCCCATTATGTGACAATAAAAGGAATTTTTGTATTGTAGTCTAATCTATTCAATTCAATTCATTTTTATTCTATTCTTTTCTATTTTATTCGGTTCTGTTCTATTCTATTGTAATGCTATCAGAACAGTGTTAGCTCTGTAATGCCATGTGGTTAGTACTTTCCTGAAGAACTTTAAAGTATTAAGTCAATTTTTTTATATATCAATCTTCCCCCCATCCTCTGTGGATATGTGAAACACCCCCCTAGGGTCCTCGTGTTTTCCAACAGCATGTAAAACCTATAGTTTTGGCTATGATAAATACGTGGTTGCATTCAAGAAAAGAGTTAGATGTACAAAAAAAATATTTTGGAACCCTTTTTTTTAGATCAGGTATATTAAAGTTATAATTTTTCACATAAGAATTTAAACATACTTACAGGTTGATATCTATTTTTTTTTGTAATCCAGACTTCATAAAAGCCATTTCTGTACTTTTAAGAGTTTTCAAAACTAATTAGGTAATCATGAAAGATTAGAGATAATGGCTTTCTAGCTATACTCCTAAAACTCCTCTGCATTAATCTATTAATTTAATGAAATATGTGCATTTGTTCTGATCCTCCTGCTTGCGTATATACTCCTTTTGGAAATTTCAGGATATTAAGCTTTTAATTCTGTAAAAATAAATCTCACATAGGCTTTATATGGTGTGAAATCATGTTGAAAATCACTTCGCTTTTTTTTTTCTCTGATGCTGAATCTTTGTTTGTAGTACTAAAGGTTGTTTATTTTTTCAATTCTCTGCTGTAAACACAATCAAGCATGGTTCAAAGTAGCTTGAAAACCTTGTTAAACAAGTCATAAAGCTTCTCCAAGCTTTTACACATGTGGATAAAAAACATTGGTAAAGCTATCATAATGAAAGAAAAAAGTGCAGAGGTCTCAAGATATTGAATCTGAAAAAAGTAATAAAAAATTACCATTGTATGAAATTCAACAAATAAAGTAAGACATTATTTTTCAACCATGCTTCAACAGAATGATTTTAAAAAATACATAATTGAAACAGGCCTGTTTCAATAATGACACAGGCAAAAATAATGCCTGGGCAAAAATTATGAGCCTAGAAAAGACTGAAAATAATGCTTCCAAAGGGAAATGTTTAATCAAGGCATCTCCACTTATTAGCAACACAGGTGTCTGCAGTATTCTAATCAGTCAGTGGGCCTCTATATAGGGCCACATGCAGTCACTGTGATATTTGGTGACATGGTGTGTACCACAGTCAACATGGACCAGAAGAAGCAAAGGGTAGAGTTGTGATCATAAAAAAAGAAATTATAGACAAGCATGTTAAAGATAAAGGCTATAAGACCATTTCCAAGCAGCGAGATTTCCCTGTGACTGCGGGAGCACAGAAATTTCAAATCCATGGGACAGTAGCCAACATCCCTGACAGATAATATGAAGGATAACAAAAGATCCCAGAAAAACTTTTAAAGAGATTGAGATTCAACTTAAAGTTCATGGAAATCAGTGTCAGATCTGCTGCTGTTAGAGCCAAAATTGACCTAATAGGACATGACCAAGAAGAACATTAATGTTGAAAAAAAAAAAAAAAACTACATGCTGAAAAGCCACAAAGTTTCTGGGAGAATGTCTTAGTGACAATTGTGACAAAAATCCTGATTTCTACCGAGACACGTCCCCTCTATGTTAACAGACGAAAAAATAAAGCATGTCAAGAAAAGAACACTGTCCCTTCTGTCAAACACGGAGGAGGCCTTGTAATGATCTGGGGCCGATTTGCTTCATCTGACACTGGATGTTTTAAACCTTGCAGGGTACAATGAAATCTAAATCTTATCAAGGGATTCTAGAAATAAATGCATTTTCCAGTGGTCTCAGGTCGCAGGTCATGGGTCTTGAAACAAGATAATGACCCAAAACAAACAGCTAAAAACACCAGAGAATTGCTGAGAGGAAAACATTGGACTATTCTGAAGTGGCCTCCCATGAGCCCTGACCTAAATACTATTCAGCATCTTTTACCTGCTGAGAGGAACAAAAGTCTCACTCACAGTTACAGGAATTTTTTGGTTAAAGTGATTTCTTCACAAGGTTGTGCAACAAAATTTTAAGTCAAGGGTACCATATTTTTTTGTCCTGGCCTTTTTCATGAGTTCCTTTTTAAAATTGTTTTGCTGGAGCAGGATGAAAAGCAATGTCTTGACTTTCATTTTTTACATTTTCGTAGAATTTTTATCTCCAATGACTTTTGACATATTCAAGTTATTTTCTGACCATTGTAAGTTTTTCTTTTACTTAATGAGGGGTACAAAAGTGTGTGTCTACATGGAAATATACAAAGTACATATAAAATATTATGTGGGCATAATCAAAAGGATCAAACTGAATATAAACACATACAGGGTATTTAACACGTTTTTTTGTGTTTTTGTCAACTGTTCAGTTCTACAGTTATATCTATACAAACCCTACAGATAATATTCCCTTTCTTACCTGCAGTTATCAGATATCCAGCCACGATGTTGTGCTCCATTTGGCTGAAAGCACTTTTTCCTCCATACGGTTCAACATCACCTGAACCATTTACCTCCATGTGCATATCCATCTTTTAAAGACTTTTTAGAAATTCAAACCCAGTACTCATAAACCTGTCTGCAGAGAATAATAATGAAAACTGAGCAGATCCTGTTTACTAAGAATAATGATCCAGAGAGCTGGTGTTGGGAAACTAAAGCCTGTTACTCGGTGGATTATTACATTCCAGCTCTCTGCAGCCAGCAGTTTGTACAAAAGTAAGGATTACTGCTCATGTGGCCTGAAATCTGGGTTTTGACTTTAACATTTCAACAAAAATATAAAGTTTTGTTCAGATAATGTATTGAAAGGCCACAGAGAATACTTTTAGCAATGTCATCAGTTATTTGACCATTGTCAGATGGATTAAAGGATTTGTCCTATACATGTATTTTATCACGATGCAACATGAAAAAAAAAAAAAACATAACACGAGAACAGATCAAAATTTATATTTATTTATCTTAAATAATTTCTTCATATTTTTGAAGCCATATGTCTTTACCGGCCTAAGTATTTTACATTTAAAATACTAAGTAATAAAAAAATTGAATTTCTTTAAATATGTGGCAGAAGCACTTTTTTTTTAATCGAGGGCTAAGAAAATATAAAAATTTTAATTTCCTAAACATATGATTCTGATTCTTCTGATTCTGTTGTACAGTAATCCTTACAGTCCTTCAAAAAGATGCTAAAATTGGGAACATAAAAAAGCAAAATAATTTTGATGGAGCGTGCATATTGTATCTGACATTTAAAAGGCCATGCTGCCCTGGGTGGTGAGTTATAGAACTCAAAAACAAAACATCCTACAATTGATACTCATTGTTTCCACCTCACAGGGTGTCTAATTGGCCCATGCATGAACAGATCAGAATACATGCAAATGTTTAAAACAGTTTTATACATTAAAGTGAAAAATATCTATATTTTTGATATACTTTAGTTATTTTTTTTAAAGCTAAAACATTGCTCTCACCAACCTAAAGGATTGCTGCAGGTCCCCTGATATCTCAGTTTCGGTATAAAAAAAAAAAAATGTAGGACATCTTCCAAGCCAGCAGGTGGCGCCATAAGTAATGTTCTGTCTGTAATATTTTAGGTAAGACCGGAGCATTTCCTTTCCATTGAGCCGCCACCTTCTCACTGCTACGGACGTATCTGACATAGTCTCAAATAAAAAATAAAAATGCCAGGATTATTGAGAACCGTCGCCAGCCGCGTCGCCCCCGTCATGCGAGGACACACTGTGACCCAGACGGCGAATTTGTACACAAGACCGGCGAAGGAGAAAATCGGCACCTTTGTAAGTGTTGGAGCTAACCGCTAAATGCTAGCAGCTAAGTGGCATCTGTCCCTTTGGAGGTCATAGCCTGTATTCGCTATTTTGTTACAGATTATTTAGATAAGTAAAGCTGATATTGATTTTATGTGGAAATTAAACGTATTTGTTATTGTTTAGAGTAAATATTGATGGATTTTACTTTTCTAAAGGTCGTTTTAAAGTGTGCTGGAGCTCTGTGAGGTTTTGTTTCACATCAAAGCTAACTTCCTGAGACTTTTCAGCATATTTTTAGCCCCACTCCTAATTACTTAGACTTCATATTAACATGTTTTATGTAACATCGTCACTAAGATGATCCAACTAAAGCGGGTTGTTGGGTTTAGATTAAACCATTAGCACACATGTGCAACTTTAAGGGAACTCTTCTTTGAATTAAAACACCTTGATTGTTTTCTTTCTTCTTCAATTGTCTAGCAGGTTCTTGATGCCAAAGCGATCCTTCTATATCCTCATTAGAGAGTATTTTAACATTTAAAGTTAAATAAACTCCAAAGCAATGTAATTACCTAGTTTTAACCTACCTTTGTTAAACAAAACGTTATTGTGACTGCATTCAAACATGGTGATTTCAAATGTTATGTTTGTTTGTTTCCTCTTAGTTTCTTCTATAATAAGGGATCGCCACAGAAAGTCAAAACAACTTGTTCACAGCGACAGCAAAGTTTTAACATCACATGCCTTTCCTGACACAACCTGGATTCAAACCCCATCTCATGCCTTTCAGTCACAAACCTGAACTACTTCAGCCTTTCTTTTAGTATGGGTTTGTGTGTGCCGGCAAGGAGACGCCTGAAATATGCAGAACCTGTGGACCAGGGTTGTTGCCAGCGTATAACAGGATAACTAGCTGTTATGTTTAAAAAAAAAAAGTCACGGTTACCCGACCCTGTTTTGTTGGGCTACTCTATAAAGTAGCACACTCAATGCTAATCCAGATGTTTTGAATAGAAGAAGCTTCCGAGATGGAAAGCAAAACGTCCTTGACAACCATGACATGGATGAATGAGAATCTTCACCAGCACTCTTACCCTAAAAAACAGGGTCACTACACTCATTTTTCATGAGCATATTGGCCCTTTGATTGACATCTGGGCTTCCTACCGAGCACAGGCTCTGATTAACCTGAAACCTTTAGAGTTACAACAGAAATATGCAGATACCCTGACTTATAATGAGTGTAATATCCATAGTAAAAGTTTTTAAATACGTTTACCACCTTATTTACATATATGATAGGGATATGAAGGAACAACATAAACCCCACACCATTTAGACTGTAATTGTTGCCTACTGAGCTGCTTTTTCACTATATTCAGCGACTTTTCCGACGTTCTACACACTCCACTTTGTTTAAAAAAAAAAATAGAAATAGAAAAAATATATAGATGTCTGGGGGACAGTGATTCGCCTACATGTTATGAATGCTGATGTACCTTAAATGATAAATTATGAACAGTTTAGTTTGTGCCTTCAAGTTGTTTGCCCAAAGGAAGACATTACTTGGATATAACCGAACTGAATATCTTCAGAACAGCTCCAAATGACACAAAATTCATATGGGTGAGTAGAACATGATGTAATAACGTAAAATCAAGGGCCCAGTGTAAAAAAAACAACAAAAAAAACGGCGTTCCCCTTTAACTGGAGTATAGAGACTGTAAAACATGCCTTTAGCTGACAGCATCCCACTTAGAGCAGTAATTATATATGTAAGAAATATATAAACATTTTGCATTTATGATAATAAAAAAAAAAACAATAACTGTATCCAGAACTACTCAAGTGGAAAAGGTTTGATTCCACCTGGTTCAGTTTCGTAAAGAGGTCCTCTTTAAAGAGTCTTTGGTTTTTGGATTATTAATTGAAAGAAAAAAAAAAAATCAACAGATTAAGCAAAAATAATCGTTAGTTGCAGCTCTCCCTCTAAAATTTACATCTTTATTATTGGACCCTGTGTGTGTTCATAAGACCTGGAGTCAAATTCCTTTTTTTCACAATCTTTGCCAACAAAACTGATTTTATTTCTTCTGATTGTATTCCCTCATTTATCACTTGCTCCTTTGTGGACCAGGCGATATCTTATCTAATGCTGAGGTCTTATCTTATCTCCTGTTTAGAAACTCAGTCTGATAGTCTTGTTCTGATGCGACTCAGCTGACTGATTGTTCCACCTCTGTCGTTTGTCCAGGAAACTGCAGTTGCAATGGGAGTTTTCTCTGCAGCCATCCTGGGACCATCTGGATGGATCCTGGCCCACCTGGAGGACTACAAGAAGAAGGAGTAACATGGACTCTGAACTGTCTTATCTGGTGCATCCAGCCTCTGTCTCCTTCTGGGACCATCATCTTAATGTTACACTGCAGCAAAAATGTTTTACTTATCACTCCTCTACCTCTATGACAGCTCCATGTCCCAGATACCTAAACTTCAAATAAAACAACGACTCTGATCCTTCAAATATGTCAATTGGGTTTTCAATCTTCCCTCATAAGGAGTGTTACAAAATAAATTTAAACTCATGTTTCTGTTTGCCTCATTTCTTTCAGTTTTACTGATTGTTTTCACTCATTTTGGAAACTTTAAAGAATTCTGTACATAAAACCCAATCCTCTGGCACCTGCTGGTCATCTGAACAGTTATTGTTTCTGAAGATCTTCAGTGATTGTTTAGCTTTTCTACACCAAAGCAGAGTGTCAAAATATATTTCTACCACAAAGACATATGTTTGAACACACTAAAGGGTTTATTTTAACATGAATATTGGAAAACTACCAAAACTGCAATCAATCAATCAACAACACAGACTCTGGCTTACAGAGGTATGATGCCACATTTTGTGGATCAATGCATAGACTGAGACACAACTCGCTATACATTAAAATTGGCTCAGATTTAATGGTATGGGTAGTCTTCGGGGATCATTGATCCGTTTACAAAAATAACTAAGCATTTTATGATAAAGACATTAGGTTTGATATAATTCCATATACACTAAATAGGTGAGAAGCACCATTGTTCCAGGCAAGTCTTTGTGCAGGTCAATCCAATCCTTGGACCTTGATCCAATAGAAACCTGGATGATTAGAACATGTGTTTCTGACCCAAGACATGCAGAGGAACTCTGGATCTCAGTGGTCCTGGATCACACGTAAAGGCCCTTCTAAAAGGGAGAGGCTTTGATTGTTCAGCAATTTACAAAAACAATGCTGCTGATTTTTGATCACTACATATTTGACACTGCTGGTTTGTTAGATTACTATCTGATTAGTAACCCCTTATGTTTTTGTAAATGAATAAGAAGCATTTTTTTTTTACTTTGCTTTAATTTGGAAAACAAAGTGGTGCTCCTGATTAATGAAATAAAACGTACATAAAAATATGAACTCCCCTATTTAAACACGGCCACTTGCCCCCTTAAGAGAAAAGTGATTTTGATTGATTGATTGAATCTATTGATCTCACATTGGAGAAATTTATTCTTACATCAGCTAGAGATAGTCAAAAAGAAGAAAGTGCCAAAGGAAGTAAGATGTGATATATACAGTATATATAGCGCCTCCATATATATATATATATATATATATATATATATATATTTACATATGACAGCTGGAATCTCTTCTTTAGATTATACAGGGTTATGCACAGGGTACTTACATAGGTATTTATATAGATTCATATGCATTTATATATATATATATATATAGCTATTGCACTGGGTATCAAATAGAAAAAACAGTTTATTGGAAATGATATTACGATGTTATATCGTTATGCAAAACAAAGTAATTGAGGGGAAAATTGATGTTTAAGGGTCATTTTTTTTAGGCATTCTTAGGAGTGGGTAGCCTAGTGGTTAGAGCAGTGCGCTTGTGCTCTGAGAAGGTTGCAAATACCCAGCTTGATTCTCACAGCCTGCACTCTGGGTCCCTGAGCAAGACCCTTAACCCCCAATTGCTTGCCGAGCGCAGTGGCAGCCCACTGCTCCTCAAGGGGTTGGGTTAAGATGTTCTGTGAGATCAATAAAGTTCAATTATTTTATTATTATCTTTAAGGAAACATTAACTTCATTTGCTTTCTATAAATTTTGGACTAAGCCAGTTGAGTGAACAGTTAAAGGAATGTTTTATCATCAGTAAGAAGAATCAGATGCTTGCCATCTATCGCTTGTATACAAAGTTCAGCACCAAGGATAAATTGGTTTGGATGGTTTCTGGTAAACAACTAGAGCAGTTTGAAGCTTAAATTCTTCTGGATTGAATGTTGTGCTATTTCCTAAAGATTGGGACTATTCTGTATGACAGTAAGAAGAGAATTTTGTTTTTGACAGGTTGTAATACTATCATAGTAAAGTTGTAGAATTATGGAATAAAGACATGACAAGTCGTAATAAAGTGATAATAAAGTCAATGTTATTTAATCAGAACTCTTTGTGGTCATCCCCTGCATGAAACGTGGACTGCTGAGAATATCATGAAGTTAAAATTTTTGTATCGGTTTTTCAAATAAGGAAATATTAAACCTGTTAGCCTATCAGCATCAAATTATTAGGCTATTATGTTACACAAACAGAGCTCAAATTACTTATAGGTAGTTTGTGCTGGTCAGATATTTTTTGAATATTTTTTATGAAAAGACTAATAAACTGATAATTTTGTTCTATCATGACTTCAAACTCATAAAATTACAACTTTATCATATAATTTTATGTGAATAAAGTCGTAATATTACACATTTTATTTCGTATTATTATGTTTTTATTCCCCTCCTGGTAATATTATGAGAATAACGTTATAAGAGTATAACTTTATTCCCATTATTATGACTATTATTATTATATATTTTTTTTGTCTAATCCTAATGCTTCATCGTAAATTTGGAAACAATATTCTAAGTGCTTTTTAAGGTTGAGTTTATTGTTGGGTAACAATGACAAATATTAATATAGTAATACATTTTAATTTAAAACCCACCTACAATATGCTAAGTATAATCTAAATGCTCATCCTCTCCCGTTTTTTTTATTTTATGTTATTTATTTATTTTGTAGGTTAATTTGATTGTTTTGGTTGAGTTTTGACACTAACGGACTTCCATAGTTTCCGCTTTAAAGTCACTTCACCCGCTGCTGGTCACGTGACTCCACCGAGCCTGCTGGCTGCTGAGAACAGTTGGATTTGAAACATCAGGTTTAACAGGTAAACTCCTCCCTGTTGTTTTTCTGGTACTAAAAGCAAAACCAAACTGGCGACTAGAGAATTAATAAGGGGTAAAAAACAAGAAATGAGTTAAAGTTAAACTACCGAAGGAGTTTTAATTGCTGCTAACGTTAGCTCAAATATCGGATCTTGTTTTTTCTTTCTGGTTGTAGTTGAAGTTTTCTCTTTGATCATTTAGGGCTTTATTAGCAGCATGAGGCTGGTGATTCTAGATGACTATGATCTGGCCAGCGAGTGGGCTGCTAAATACATCCGGAACAGGATCATCGAGTTCAAACCGTCTGCAGACAGATACTTTACTCTGGGTTTACCCACAGGTAACAAAGCCACCCCACTGCAGGGCTGCTTCTGCTCCCACTACCTCTGATCATATGCTTTGTTTCAGGCAGCACTCCTTACGGCTGTTACCAGAAGTTAATAGAGTTCTACAAAAGCGGAGACCTTTCCTTTAAATATGTGAAAACCTTCAACATGGATGAATATGTGGGTGAGTGTGATTCACTGCTATAGGAGGAGCCACATAAAGTGGTCATTCATTTACTCCACAAAATGGTTAAAAAGTCTCAGTGTAGTAGAATAGTGGATTATGTAAACTGAGTTGGATGATGGAGTCACATACATAGTGATGGCAGCATCATGCTGTGGGAATGCTTACTTTTCTGCAGGCCTGAATGGCTGATTAGTTTGGAAATGGATGCAACTGAATACAGGGACGCCCTGGAAGAAAAACGGTTTTAGCTAAAGGAAAATGTAATTTCCTCTCTTTGTCATTGTTTTATCAGAAATTGGCTGTTTACAAAATAAAAATCTTAGTTTTAACCTCCTGATGCTTGTACCGGAGCTTTTTAGTGCCTTGCTAAAACAATCTCACTGATAATAAGAATTAAAATAACAATTATAGGAATTGTACAGAGTGATTATTTTTCTATAAATATATATTTTCATTCAAGAAAGGTAGTACGGTGTATTTAAGTGCATTTAAATACAATTCCTTGAACTGGTTTTCTTAATTTTGTATTCAAATCAAAACTCATCCACACACCTAACCATATATAAAACAAAGCAAAAAAACAACAACAGGAAAACAAACAAACACAGACAAAAAAAATAAATAAAACAGACAAGGGGGGGGGATTATCCTGCACTCAGATACATGTCTATAGTTCAGTAAGATCAAAACAAATGTCGGGGCTGTATTGACATATGGAAGGGTATTGAGGCTTTATGTATTTTAGTTCAAGCAATAATTTGAAACACTGATTTAGGTGCAGATATTTTACAATGATGATAAATGTAGGAGTCCTTGGGCATAGTATCTTCTTGTCATTTAAAAAAATGACGATTTATTTTTTTAAAGCGTGGCAAAACAAACGTCAACAGTGCTCTCTGAAAAGAACACAGTGTCAGCTTTTTAAAAAAAATAAATAAAAAAGAAGCAAACTCTCATATCTCTGCCAAGGATGACTGTCCATCTGCTTAGATGATTACATTTGCTCTGAACACACCCCCACCATTTTTTGTTTTTGTCGACTCATGCAGATTTCTGTCACTATCTGTTGGCTTTGTTTTTCCTTTCCTTATCTCGCTGTTTCTCCTGCTGTATTGAATACACCATTTTATCAATTCCTTCCATTTTTTTTAAATAGAACTTACCTTTTACCTACTTGTATTCAAATAAAATGCACTGCATATATATATATATATATATAACATGGCAATTTCTTTTCTCCTTTTTGGAAATTTCAATTGAAGATGAAAGAACAGCTTCTTTAAAGCAGGAGAAATACTACGTTACAAAATACAGTCAATTTGGAGCAAGATTTGATGATTTTGGTGAAATCTTTTTATTGACCTACTTAGTTTTTTCAAAATTTTCATCCATATAACGGAATGAAAGCAATTTTTATTTTTATGTCTGTTTTTTTTTGAGACCTTAACAATAAATTAAATTCTTTGGAGAAATAAAAGGCTTTTCTGTAACTTTCTTCGCTTAGAGTTTTCATCAGTTGAAGCAGATTGATGTATTCCTCTCTTACTGACACAAACCTTTGTCCTACAGGTCTGCCCCGTGCTCATCCGGAGAGCTATCACTCCTACATGTGGAACAATTTCTTCAAGCACATCGACATTGATCCGGCCAACGCTCACATCCTGGATGGGAACGCAGAGGACCTAGAGGCTGAGTGTAACGCCTATGAGCAGAAGATTGCTGCAGCCGGAGGGATTGAGTTGTTTGTTGGAGGTAATAATGTGAGATTTACAATCTGGGGTCTGCCGGCCCTGCTTTCAGCCAATTTCAATTTCTTTTTGTATATAAAAAGTTTTACTGAATAAACTAATTACATTAATTTGTTAAGCTCCATTTAAGTAGTTCTTAGTTATTTAGATACAAAACGGAAAACTTTTCATATTCAGTTCAATTTATTTATGAAGCACCCATTTACAGCACATTGTGCATTAGAGTGATTAATAAAAGCCGGATGTTTTTATTTCAAAACATTACTTAAACAATTTCAGATTTGACAACAGAAGCTGTTTTAACATCCTTATATTAGCTGGTATTGCAGCCAACATCTCTTAAACAGCAGGCCTCTTTAAATCCTTAAATATCTATACTTAACAGGTATTTTTAAAAGGCTGTCTAGGTTTCCAAATCCAGCATATTAAATCTTCAAGGTTGAAAACTAAGAAGGAAAAAGTTTTTTTTTAATATATATATACAGAATCTAGTTCCTTCTTCTCTGATGGAAAAAGGTCAGTTTAGAATGATTATGCACTATGTTAAAAACCAAATAAAGTTTAACTTTGAATTTCTGTAAGCAGATCTTGGAATTCTTTCCTGCTGACATTCAGCTTCTCGTCTCTCTTATCCTCTCTGAAGGTATCGGCCCTGACGGCCACATCGCCTTTAACGAGCCCGGCTCCAGCCTTGTTTCCAGAACCAGAGTGAAAACACTGGCAAAGGACACCATTGTGGCAAACGCTCGTTTCTTTGGGAACGACCTCTCCAAGGTTCCCACCATGTCTCTCACTGTGGGAGTGGGAACCGTAATGGATTCCAAGGAGGTCATAATGTTCTGTACACATCAAAGATCCTGACGCAACCCTTCCTCCTCCTGTTTGTTTAACCTTCCTGTTCCCCCACAGGTGATGATTCTGATCACAGGGGCTCACAAGGCCTTTGCTCTGTACAAAGCCATTGAGGAGGGGGTGAACCACATGTGGACGGTGTCGGCCTTCCAGCAGCACCCGCACACCATCTTTGTGTGCGACGAGGACGCCACGCTGGAACTGCGTGTCAAAACTGTGAAATACTTCAAAGGTACTTACTGAAATTTTATGTTTGTCCCCGTGAATAAAGCGGAAAAATTATGATGTCACGTTCCAATCTGGAGAGCTTTCAATCTTGGACACGTTTTAGTTTTCTTTGTGAATGAAACAGGGAGCCAATCACAAGAGGCTTGAATTAGACGTTGATTGTTGTCATGCTCACACAATTGCTTAGCATGTGTTTTGACAAGAGTATCAGGTAAACAAAGATAAGAAATGTAGGTTTATAATTTAACTAACCGTCCTTATTCGGGAATGGCTTCTTAATGATAGATTAATTCACAGGAACCTGGATGCCAAAAATGTGTTATGAGCTCATGTTTTGCACTGCATTGTTATATTCAATTTGTCTTGAGTCCAAGTGCAATGGAGAGGGAGAAAGATGTGGACTAACTAGAAAAAGCTGTTTCGCAGAAACAGCAAAGTGGGAATGCTTTCTTTGCTGAACGAAATAATCAAAATTAGTGAAAGAAACTGCGAGCTGAGGAACATATGAAAATGTGAAAGGAAGTCATCAGAAACTTCAAACTGCAGAAAACAATTGAATCATCTGAAGATTTTGTAGGGTAGATTCATCTGGCAGTAAAATGGCAGAAACAGACTCATCTTAAAAGCTTCACAGCCAAACCATACATGATATCAAAAATGTGTTTAATTTGGGCACTAGAAGGGGTCTAAATGTAATGTCTCCCAAGTTTCTAGAAAAAC